GCAACTTGGCGAGACCTCATCTCTACAATAAATCAAAAATTAGCCAGGCGAGGTAGCACATGCCTGTAGTTCCAGCTCCTTGGAAGGCAGAGGCGGAAGGATTGCTGGAGCCCAGCAGGTGGAGGCTACAGTGGCCAGGAGCGGCCACTGCACTCCAGTCTGGGCAACAGAGTGAGACTCCAACTCAAAAAAAAAGTACAATCTCAAAGCATTGAACCTGTTCTTTGGCTTGTTTCTAGATGTTGGTATGCAGTTTTTTTTTTTTTAATTAGAAAATATAGTTTATTTAGAAAGTAGAGAGGCTGGGCATGGTGGCTCAAGCCTGTAATCCGAGCACTCTGGGAGGCCGAGGAGAGAGGATTGTGAGCTTCCACCTCTTCTCTACAATAAATCAAAAAATTAGCCGGGTGTGGTAACACATGCCTGTAGTTCCATTTACTTGGAAGGCTGAGGCTGAAGGATTGCCTGAGTCTAGCAGGTCGAGGCTGCTGTGGCCGTGAGCATGCCACTGCAGTCTAGCCTTGGTGACAGAGTGAGACTCCAACTAAAAAAAAAAAAAAAGAAAATATAGAGAGAGATTTACCTCTCCAAGGTAGGGGAGGGGGCCAAAGCTAGGAAACATGGCGACCGTGGTTCAAGGAGCCTCATGGTCCGGCCATGGCTTAGCAAAGCAATGGCCTACAATTTCTTTCTTTTTATTTTATTTTATTTAATGTTTGAGTTGGAGTCTCACTGTGTTGCCCAGACTGGAGTGCAGTGGCCGCAGCCTCGACCTGCTGGGCTGCGGCGATCCTTCCACCTCAGCCTTCCCAGTAGCCGGCATTACAGGCATGCGCTACCATGTCCGGCTGATTTTTTTTTTATTTATTGTAGAGATGAGGTCTTGCTGCCCAGGCGGGTCTCGAACTTGTGGGCTCGGGCAATCCACTCACCTCAGCCTCCCAAAGGCGTGGGATTACAGGCTGAGCCACTGAGCCCGGCTCTATTTTTCATATTAAACAAATAATACTTGTGCTGAAACAACTACCATTCTATTGTTTCATGTTGTGAGTTGTGACATAACCCTTAACTGGCATTTTAGATAATTCTTCTGAAGATTATATGAAACTAGTTCAACTGTTACATCAATTTATTTGTCAGTCAACAGAGTGCCCACAAACAGAAAATATTTTTTGGTTTATCTTGAGTTGGGGTCTCACTCTGTTGCCCAGGTTAGAGTGCAGAAGCATGATGACAGCTCACCGCAGATGTCCAACTTCCAAGCTCAGGTGATCCTTCCACCTTGGTCTCCAGAGTAGGTGGGACTATAGGTGCATGCACCATGCCTGGCTTATTTTTTTTATTTTTGTAGAGTGAGGTCTCCCTATGTTGCCCAGACTGGTCTCAAACTCCTGGGCTCAAGCAATCCTCCTACCTCAGCCTCTTAAAGTGCTGGGATGACAGGCGTGAGACACTGTACATGGCCAGAAAATATTTTTTATCAATTTATTGCTGTCTTAAAATTCTGATACCAATGAAACAATTTTTTTTCTTTTGAGTTGGAGTCTCACTCTGTCACCCAGACTGGAGTGCAGTGGCCGCTCCTGGCCACCACAGCCTCGACCTGCTGGGATCCGGCGAACCGTCCGCCTCAGCCTTCCGAGTAGCTGGAACTACAGGCGTGCACTACCACGCCCAGCTGATTTTTTTGATTTATTGTAGAGATGAGGTCCCAAACCCGCCGGCTCAGGCAATTCACTCACCTCAGCCTCCCAAAGTGCTGGGATAACAGGCTGAGCCACCGAGCCCGGCTGAAACAATTTTTAAAAGTATATTTTTAAAAGCCATAAGCTCTATCCATTTAAACTTTCCTAGGAAAGGTAGTATACAGTTCCCCCAAAATGGAAAAACTACCAATTCATCTGTCAACTTAAGGGTACAATTCTCTTCTTAGGCTTAAGCTGTTTAAGTTCACACAAACCATGAGGCAAGATAGTAAAAAAACTCACCTACCGCTATAATTTGCATCAAAATCTAAGATGTCATTCTTATTTTTATGACTAATAAGATGAAAATATTTACCTTTCAACTACTGTTTGAAATTATAATGTCTTTTACTAGGACAGAAGAGTGGAAAGATCACAGACGTGAGAATAGGTTTGCTCCCAGCTTTGTCACGTACTGACACCAACGCTTTAGATGTTATTTAACCTCTTAGTTTTGCTTTTTGTAATTTTTGTTTGCTATGCTTTTTGTATCTCTATTTAACATCTTTCAATTTCAACTTGGAAACAGCAATTACATTGTAGGTGCTGTGAGGATTAGAAATAATATATATAGCTAGGCACGGTGGCTCACGCCTATAATTCCAGCACTTTGGGAGGCCGAGGTGAGAGAATTGCCTGAGTTCACAGGTTCGAGACCAGCCTGGGTAACTTGGCGAGACCTCCTCTCTACAATAAATCAAAAAATTAGCTGGGCGTGGTGGTGCTTGCCTGTAGTTTCAGCTACTTGGAAGGCTGAGGCAGAAGGATCACCTGAGCCCAGCAAGTTGAGACTGCGGTAGCTGGGAGCGTGCCACTGCACTCCAGACTGGGCAACAGAGTGAGACTCCTACTCAAAAAA